AAATGGTCAACACCCGAGCAGGATCCCCTCGCTCTAAATTAGGGCGAAATTTGATCTCCTCCCTTGCTTCTCCCTCTAAATGGTCAAAAATAAAGAACGCTTGATCAGCAACAGACAGGTGCCGGGCACGCATGGATGCTTGAACCTCTTTGACCCATTCAGCTATATTGATGCCTGTTCTGCCATTGAACATGGGACATTTACGGTCCCTAGGCACCACCACCAAACGCTCGGTAACGGCGGCCTGGCTACCAACGTTTGGTATGCAACCAGCTGGTGCGAAGGAGGCCGACGCGGCACCACCACCAGACTCTAGCACAGCGCCCCTATCCCGGCGCAATTGCTCATTATCTGCCTTTAACTGCGCTACCAAGTCTCTAAGTTGCTGCAATTCTTCCTCCATAATAAATTTTGACCAAAAAAAGGAAAATTAAATCAGCAAGGTGCTAAAATCCTATTACTCTTCCTCCTAAACCTGGATACTGCTGTCTTGTCTATAATCACACTCTAAAACAAATAGAGCCTTCAAACAGGTGAACTGTGATCTTTGCAAAAATAAAACAATTTACAAGACCAAACGTCTACCTCAAATGTGCATCCTGTCGACCAACGCCAAGTATGTGACCAAGTGGTCGGCGGGGTTAGATAAAAGGAAATAATAAAATGGCAACGCCACCTAGGGGAATTTCACACCCAGGAAATATATTTAAGAAAAATAGGTAAAAGGAATAAAAGGAGGCCGCACAACAGCGGCTGGGAAGGCATTTCACTCTTCCGATTTAGGTTGGGCGATTTGCCACGGAGAGGTGAATACAGCAATCAAACCTTAAAACAACAGATAAATGTAACCTTAGACTCTTATAGCTATGAATGCTAATAAAAGTAGTTTTAACGGCTTACCCCAGGACCGGAGGCGCTATACTCTCACTGGTGGGGATAACACGAGCACCTCTCTCCGCAACGTCGGGATAAAACAAACTGCCGCGCTACAACGGGCCGCAAAAACTATATTAACACAAATTCCAGTACTCGGAGGGAATCTGAGGTTAAGCAAGAGCATACCTGTAGCTGTCATATGATCTGCTCTTGCTGATCAGTCCGTCGCGGTGTGCCAGCATTTACTGCTGCTTTGCGCCGAATGCACGGGAGGAATGATCGGGAGGAATGATCCAGAAAAACACTGGCTTAGCTTTATACGGGCTAACGCCACCCTGCAATCAATATGCAGGTGGGTTCCCAATTAACCTAGTTGCGCAGCGAAGAGAACGAGCGCAGAAGAGAGCGAGCGCAGGAGAGAGAGTGAGAGAGAAAAAGAAAGGCGAGTAGCCCATCTGGCTACACTTAGAAGTATCTACTCATATATACTTAGAGTTTTATAATCAATGTCATGTTGGTAGAGGTTTGATCCTTCTGTGTGCCTCCCAGAGCGCTCTGGCATACACATACAACTTAAGGTCAGGAGAGAGGTCATATCTGCTCTTACTGATTTATGGTATAGAAGGACACCAACTCTGTATCTGGTTAAGTATAAGAGCCTTTTGTTTAGATGGACCGCTAGACTCCTGGCACCAGCTTTGGGGAGTCTTCACGGGGTCACATCTTGACCCCCCCCACACACACACACACACAAGGTATTCTTTGTCCACATTTATACCTATGTGAAACGTCATATGTTAATGAACCTATGCATATTCATGTAACCACAATAAAAGGAGTGCTATGGGGAACCTGGCTGAGAGTCTGATGGAGGTCAAGTGGGTGGAACGACACTTGGCTCCAGGCAGGTCTCCCTCATGCATGAGTAACACAAAGAACTTTGCCTACTCGTGTCTTGCTTTTGCTGTGTAGTATATTCTCTTGAACGTTCCAGCGGTTTAAGCTACAAACCTATCAGGCATGGACTGCGGATCCAGTTTACTCTGCCTCCATTACAAACAATTAGACGTGGAAGTAGTGATGTTTGAGTTTTGTGATGAAGCAAAAAATGAGTGGATTACATTACCATTCAGTTTGAGGGTTACAACAGAAAATTATATATTTATTGTTCTCACGAGGTACCGGACGGGATTATTTTAACAAAGGACATTTTGTCTGATAATTTTTTTTTTCTCCTGTAACTTTACTGTATGAAGAGCTAAAACCTCCAACATTTCAGGAGTAGTTAGTCGTTATTTTCTAGTCATTGGCTTGGAAGGAAGTTGGTTTGGAAGCATATTTGGCAATGCATCAACGTCTGCTTTGCGTTTGTGTGCAACCCTGTTAAAAAAAACCTTCTATTATTCTAGCAGTGTGTGACAAAGTGGCTAGGACTGAATTCATTTACCATTTGTCACTTGTATATATTGTTATTTTGAGGTCTGTTATCTTATAGT